TGGATAAACTGAAGATAAAAGTCTACGAGGGCAATTCCGACCCTCGACACTTCTTGACATCGTTCGGCATCTGCATGAACCGATACCAGTTCAAATCAGCCGAAGAGAGAGACGCAGTTCAGTGCCAACTATTTGTGGAAAGCTTGGGAGAATAGCTCTCGACTGGTTCTCGCGACTCGAAGCCAATTCAATCGATAACTACAAGGAGTTAACGACGGCTTTTGTCAAACACTTTTCCATGTTCATTGGACAAAATACCAAGAACTCCGAGCTCTGGCAAATAGCCCAAAGACCAAGCAAGAGCCTTCGTGATTTCATCCAGCGCTTCAAGACGATCATCGCCAATTGTACGATTAGCGACGAAGCCGCTCTCTTATGTCTTTAGAAAGGAGCTCGGATAAAGACTAGCTTTCGGAGCGCGATCACGCATAACCCTCCACAGACATTAGAAGACGCGTTGCATCGAGCTAATACTTACATCGCTGAAGACGAAGAAGAAGCCGCGTACGAGCAGAGCTATTCAACGAAGCAACCCGAACGCCCGAAAACCACGACTAATGAGCCACAGTCGGGATACGGTCGAGGATACGAGAATCGCAAGAAGTTCTACGCTAACGCAATCCAACAACCGAACAAGCAGTGGAACAACAAATGGGTTCGCGGTGAAGAAGATCAAGACGAGTCACTATTCTGCGAATTCCATAACCGTAGGGGCCACAGCACCGAAGAATGCAGGCATCTGCGAGAATATCTACTCGGTCTATATCGCAAGGAGCCGATCTCGGTCGACGAACTCTGACGCTCGAACGCGTCTAAGAGCGGTGGACAACTTTCGATCGACGATCTCCGTCGTTCACATATGCCTCGACCAAACAATGAACAGCTTGAGAAAGTACTCGCCAAAGATCCACCAACTCCACCGGCTTTACCGACGTTACCACCGCCACCACCGAATCCGCCTGTTTTGTCCGAGCAACAGAAACGGAATTGTGATGACCGAGCACCAGAGAATCACGCTCCTAAGGCACGGAAGCGTGTCAACATGATAATGGGGGCAATCGAAGCTTGCAGTTATTCGGTCCGAGCCATCAAAGAGTACAGCAGACAGGCCGCCAGCGCGCCCAAAGCCCCGCATGATCCGCCGAAGGGAACGCCCTTGGTATTTACCGAGGCCGATACAATCGGGCTGCATAAACCACATAACGACGCCCTTGTTGTCGAGCTGCTCCTCGACGACGTCGAAGTTAGCCGCATTCTGGTCGATACGGGCAGCTCGGTTAACGTTATCTTCAAGGAAGCACTTGACCAACTCGAGTTGGCATCAGATAGGATTGAACCGTTTAACGTTATGGAGAACGTTGTATGACGGTCGGCATGGTCAACATTCCGATCTACGTCGGCGGAGTCGCAAAGATTATCCAGTTCCTTATCCTCGATAAACCGGCGATCTATAACGCTATTCTTGGAACACCTTGGCTACATGCAATGAAAGCAGTCGCCTCGACGTACCATCAATGTCTGAAGTTCCCGACTCCCGACGGTGTTTATACTCTCCGAGGAAACCAAGCCGTTGCTCGATTGTCCTACATAAACGAGTGCAGACTTCATTCGGCCAACCAAGCTTGTGTTATTAGCTCGTTAGGACCGACTGACAAACTCATCGTCCAGAATACAAAACCTAAACAGGAATCGATCGTTCAAGTTTGCATCGACGAACTCAGGCCAGAACGTCAAGTCGGAATCGGCGCCGAGCTCGACCCAGTCATCCGCGAGCCACTCATTCACTTTCTGAAACAGCATTCATCGACCTTCGCTTGGTCGGCAGAAGATATGCCCGGGATTGATCCACAGATCGCGTGTCACGAGCTCAACATTGACCCAACATATAAGCCAATCAAGCAGAAACGCCGAAAGCTCGGACCAGAGAAAGCACAAGCTGTGAACGATGAGGTCGAGCGTTTACTCAAAGCCGGATCCATCACCGAAGTCAAATACCCAGATTGGTTCGCAAACCCCGTGGTCGTAAAGAAGAAGAATGGTAAATGGAGGATCTGCGTCGACTTTACCGACCTCAATAAGGCGTGTCCGAAAGATAGCTTTCCGTTGCCTCATATCGACCGCCTCGTGGAAGCAACTGCCGGGAACGAACTACTCTCGTTTATGGACGCGTTCTCCCGGTATAATCAGATTCTTATGCATCCGCAAGACCGGGAGAAGACATCGTTCATCACGGATCGTGGCATCTACTGCTACAAGGTCATGCCCTTTGGCCTGAAGAATGCTGGAGCAACGTACCAACGACTGGTAAACCAGATGTTCGCAAGCCAGCACGGGCGAACCATGGAAGTTTACATCGATGATATGCTCGTGAGTCACTCATCGCTTCCGATCACGTCGGCCATCTTCGCACATGTTTTGATATCTTGGATCAGTATGGTATGTAGCTAAATCCAACTAAGTGTACGTTCGGCGTGACATCTGGAGAGTTCCTCGGATACATTGTTACACGGCGAGGCATTGAAGCTAATCCAAAGCAGATCGCTGCTATTCTCGAGCTCCCGTCGCCGACAACCAAACGTGAAGTTCAGCGACTTACCGGACGTATCGCAGCACTTAATCGATTCATATCCAGATCGACGGATAAGTGCTTGCCTTTCTACCAACTTCTTCGCGGTAACAAGAATCTCGAATGGAATGAGAAGTGTGAGGAAGCCTTCGCCGAGCTAAAGAAATACTTGTCCACTCCTCCAGTTTTATCCAAACCAGAAACCGGCGAGACACTTTATCTTTACATCGCGATTTCGGAGTTCGCAGTCAGCAGTGTTCTCGTTCGAGAAGATCGCGGCGAACAGAAGCCAATTTTCTACACAAGCAAATCCCTCGATGGATCGGAGTATCGTTATCCGACTTTGGAGAAATTCGCCTTTGCCGTGGTCATTTCTGCACGGAAGCTACGCCCGTACTTCCAGTCTCACGCGATCGTGGTCCTAACCGATTACTCTCTTCATACTTTCCTCCATAGCCCAAGTGAATCCGAAGGCGAGGACGAACCCGAAGATTGGACCTTAGAAATCGTGGGATACATCGGAGACAGAACAGTTCCTACGGATAAATGGGCAGCTCGGCGCCTTAAGGCTCGCGCAGCTCGATATGTGGTCATTAAAGGTACTCTTCTCAGATGGGATGCTTCCGGTGTACTCTTGACTTGTGTTCACGGCAACGACATCATGGAAGTAATGCAGAAGGTTCACGAAGGAGAAGGAGGAAATCACTCCGGAGCTCGGTCTTTGGCATTCAAGATCAAAAAGGCTGGCTATTACTGGCCCACTATGCTCTTTGATTGCGAAAAGTATACGGCACGCTGCGAGAAGTGCCAACGTCATGGTCCGATGATCAATCTTCCCACCGAGCTCCTGATGACCTCGACCGCACCATATCCATTCATGCGCTGGGCAATGGACATCATCGGTCCCTTTCGCCGATCTACAACTCAGAAGCAGTATGTTCTCGTCGTCACGGATTACTTCACCAAATGGGTCGAAGCCGAAGCATACCCTGAGATTCATGGAATTGATGTTAAGAAGTTCGTCTGGAAGTTCATCATCTGCCGACACGGAGTCCCGTACGAGATCGTTACGGACAACGGAACCCAATTCACTTCGATCATTTTCCAAGATTTTTGCGCCAAGTGGAAAATCCGACTAAGTTTCTCCACCCCGCGGTACCCGCAAGGAAACGGACAAGCCGAAGCCACAAACAAGACCATCATTGACGGACTAAAGAAACGACTCGATACCGCTAAGGGAACCTGGGCGGACGAACTTGACGGCGTCTTGTGGTCTCACCGAACTACACCACGACGTTCGACCGGTCAATCCCCATTCTTCCTTGCATATGGCACAGAAGCTATGTGTCCAGCCGAACTCAACGTCCCAAGTAATTGCCGAACTATGCTTACCCAGCAACCCGACGCGAATAACAATATGAGGATCGACGCACTCGACTTAGTCGAAGAACATCGCGAACGAGCATTGCTCCGGATACAGAACTACCAACAACTTGCAGCTCGCTACTACAACAAAAAAGTTAAGGGCCGTCACTTTGAAGATGGCGACCTCGTACTTCGCAAAGTCTATCAAAACACAGAAGAGAAGAACGCAGGAAAACTTGGCGCGAACTGGGAAGGACCGTATCAGATTATGAAAGTCGTTAAACCCAGTGTTTATCAACTTATGAAGTTAGATGGAACTCCGGTCCCGCGATCTTGGAACTCAATGCATCTTAAACGATACTACTACTAGTTCGTTGCGAGCTCAAAAAAAAAAAAAAAAAAAAAAAAAAGAAGCCTCCGAACTACTTAGTCGGAGCAAAAAACACTTTTGTACTTAGAACTACGAATGGCTTGATCCCTTCAAAGGGTACGTAGGCAGCTCGTTACCGAGTCCAGGTATAACATCAATAAAATTTTATTAAGTGAAATCTTTCGCTAAGTTCCAGTTCGGAAATCATAAGGGACCGAACTCCTTGTTTTTACATCGACTTCCTGGCCAGTTGTTCGATAGCATTCCACATGAATGCAAACTTAAAAGCCGAGATCCGTCTCGCAAGCACCCACATGGTGTCGTGGTTAAGCCACATATCAAAAGCCGGGCCCAGTCCCGCAGTTGAATTTCTAAGTCACCAAGAACAATAAGCCGAGCACATCTCGCATACTTAGGTTCGACTTAGAAAAACCTTGAACTCGTTTTGTGCGTTTACAGGAGTTCGAATTAGTTCAATCTTCCAGTACGAAACGATTCACTTGGGTTCCCCAGGCCGAGCTTAAACGCTCGCACAATAAGCCGAACTCCTCAGATTCGCACCATAAGCCGAGTTCACAACACTCGCAAAACGTAAGCCGAATTATCGCAATTCGCTATCGAAAAATAAAAGTTATGATTCGAATAACATCTACGATATACCGATCTACTACTTTATGAAGACAAGAAAAAATACGAATGAGCATATAATTAAAAGCCCCCCGAGAGGCAAATAAGTTCAAAAGGAGCCCACCGAGGGTTCAGATAAACGTAAATATTACAAAATAACCCATGAAAGGACAAATAAGTTCGAGAATAGCAGGAAAAGATTAGACGGTCTTCGAAGTAGCAGCATTAAGCATGTCTTCGTTTGAGCCGAACTGCTCACCCCTCGCAGGATCCTGCGCGCTCTGGGTCACGTTCGCGGCCGGAATATCATCTTCCTCCACGAACGGAGACATCCTCTTGTCCTCCTCGGTGAGAACGCAAGCATCGACTGCATGGAAGTCCTCCAGCGCCTTGGCATGTTTTGCTTCGATATCAGCAACCATTTCTGGTGGGACCTCGTACAAGCCCTTCTTCCGCAACTGCTTGATAAAACCGAGAACTCCCGTGAGTTGGTTGACCACCAAGTACGGCTTGCGAGCACGGTCCGCGTCGTCCAGACTACGGATAACTTTTTCTAGGCGTTCGCAAGCCGTGTCATGGACTTTTCTCGCCCGGCCCTTCCAGTGTGCGACCAATTTTCGTAGCTGCTCTCGGTCTTTCTCGAACTCCCTCGCCAGCATACTTTGAGCCTCAGTCAATTCGGCTTTCGCCGCCTTTAACTCAGCACTCTCTTGCTTCAGCAAATCAACCGAAGAGTGGAGAGCCTCGTTGATTTGTAGCTCGGTGGCGAGGCGCTCCTCAGCTCTGGCGACTCTTTCCTCGAGCTCGGAGACCCTTACTTGCTCATCAAAAAGAGCTACCTCGTACGCGGCAACCAGATTGTTGATCTGGCTGGCGAGCTACATAAAAGAAAATCAAATCAGAACTCGCACTTGGAAAATTGTTGGATAGAGAAATGAAATCAAGAAATTACCACAGCAGTTGTACGGGCAATTCCCTTATACATGTTCGGGAACCGGAGCTCGGGGACTGAAGGAAGACTTGGGACCTCTGATGAGATCTTGTGATAGAGCTCGGCGCAAGCATCTATGTTCTCCTCGAAAGGAGTCTCCTCGTCATAATCAAAACAGACTCGGGCCCTCTTAGCCGGCTCGGGCTCTGGAGAACCCTCAACATGGTCCCTAGTTTGCCTCTTACGGGAATGAGAAGCTTCACCTCGGTCTTCAGAAAGAGCGAGGTCCGACCCCATAGCCGCCGGTGGATCGAGCTCGGCGGGTACATCTTGCACCCGAGAAGAATCTTCCGTCTTCTTAGTCTTCTTCGAAGACTTCTTCTTCTTCACTCTCTTCGGACCGGCTTGGTCAGGTGAGTTCGCAGCAGGTGGCAACTCTTCCGGCTGCTCATTGGTCCCTTCGGTAGCAGGGACTGGGGTCGGATCAGCCACGTCTGGTTCCTCCTCGTCAAAGAGAGTTGGGATCTCATCCAAGGAAAGCATCCTAGCAGTGCGAGTTCGCTTAACCTGTGGTTTTGGAACTTTGCGCCTTGGAGCAGCTCGGGGCTTGTTAGCTCGAGCTTTTGGCTTGCGCGGTTTTGGTTCTCGGACGGAACCTGAAAGGAAAATATGTCAAGGAGGAGTTCGGGATAAATTCAAAATCAAAGAAGTAAACAGAAGGAACTCAAGAGACAGACCTGCTTTCTTAGCTCGACGATCAAGAATTTCCTCCCAAACTTCAGGCCAGCGACGCTTGCCGGCTTCGCTGAAAGCTGCTTCGAATTCGGAGGTGAGCCCGGAATTGAGGATGAGACTTGGGAGATGACGACCTACGAAGATCCGAGAAAGAGTTAGTCAAATACAGAAGTGAAAATTTAATAAAGTACAAGTTCGTCTGGAGCTACCAATCGGAATCTTCCACTCCGATTGAGTTGGGATGTCAGAGTTGCTGACAGTGAGATCGTTCATCTCGAGGTAAAAGTACAAGGATTCCCAGTCATTGAATTTACTGGGTTTGGGACCGGTCACTATGTTCTTCTTCGGCTTAGCATTAGCGGCAAAGAAACCATTCCTTGGACTTATGGAAGTTCACCGAGAAAAGATCCTCGAACAATCGGCTGGAAGGAAGTTGGCCGAGTTTGTCGCACAAAGTAACAAACCCCACGTAGTTCGTTACTGAGGCTGGCATCACCTGTGAGAGAGCTACTCCACGCCGATTACAATACCCGAGAAGACGAGCGGGGATTGGAAGTGTGAGCCCGCATTGCGTGAAATAAGTTAGATAAACGCAGAGAAAGCCTTCGGGCACGTCCCACGGCCGATCTCCAGCTTCAAGGATTATGAAGGCAATCTGGCCTAAGAGCCCATTTTCCTCGAGCACGGCCTGGATAGCGCCCGAAGAAACTGAGGAGGACGGTACGTTGTTGGGGCGAACGACCCTTCGTCTCGGAAGAGGCGGTGAGGCATGGTTCACCGCTTCAAGGTTGTTCTCGGCGATTTCTGCTTCATTGGCGTCGGCTTCCTGACCCTCTCCTTCAGGTTCTTCGACCTCCTCGATCTCATGGTCAATACTGTCGGCGTTCGGTCCAACGCGAGCTTCTGTTTTGCGAGTTTCTGCCGTCAACCGTTCGGTAGCCTCGACTCTAGGTCTACCACGGCTACTGCTCGCTTCCACTGACTTGGAGTTCTTACGAACTAACTGAGGAGGGTTGCTCTCTTCCTGAGACGAGTTCGATTGGTGAGGATTCGAAGAGGAGGAGCTCGGCTCAGAGGATTCGTGTCGATCTTCCGGAAGGATTTGATTGGAAGATGAGTTAATGGAAGAACTGGAAGACATTTTGAGTTCGGAAGAATAGATTTAAAGGAGATCTAAAAAGAATGAAGAACAGCTTGAAGATCAACCGGAAAAGATTGAAGATTGATCGAAAAGCTTGAAGATAGCTCGGAAAAATCAAGGGTTCACGGCGGCGAGCGTTGAAGAAACGAGAGAAAACTAAGAACAAGAACTAGAGAGAGAAATGAAATCTAGAGAGAAGGGAGAGCAGCGTACCTTATATATGCTTAAGGTGAGAATAATGAATGCGAGAAGAAGTTTGCCCTTTATACACAGTGGGAATCGTGGGTTCCTCGATTTTCGCAAGGATCCCGTAATTCACGCGCCTCATTGAAGACGGGCGCGAAACGTCCGGAAATGTGAATCGACAGCAGTTACCGAGCTCGGTTTGTGATCCAATAACCAAAGAAATAAGTTCGACTGAAAGTCACCTCCTTTCACCGAACTGAGGGGGGGGGCTAACTGTTGGAGGTGAAAACCGCACCCCGGTTTTCTCCGGTACAAACTAAGATCGGCAAACCATAAGCCCGGTTTACGAAGGGACGTACCGAAGAAAGATGGGCCGAGCAAAGATGGGCCGAGCAAAGATGGGCCGAGAACAGCCCATTAGGCCGAGGTCTTTGAGAAACCTCTCGAAGGAATAGAGAGTTTCCATGAGCTCGGTCGAAACAGGAAAATTTCCTAATGGAAAAAGGAAACTTTGGAGAGAAAAGGAAAGGAGCCGAGAGAAAAGGAAACTCCTCTCGGTCCCATATCGTCTAAGGTGTGCTTGAGGACCGACTTAGGGGATATATATAAAGGGAGACAAATCGACACCAGAGAAGGGAGGATATTCCCAAGAAGACTTAAAGGCTGAGAACTCAACACGCTAGCTTCTTAGTCGTCTTAAGTCTTAGTTCGTTATTATTTACCGAACTCAGTTGTATTTTACTTGATTCAATCCAATAAAAACCGAGTTTCCGATCTAAAAGTACCATTTTGTCCCTTGTCGATATTGACTTATCAACACTTGCCTGAACAAAGACTCAAAAAGTCTAAGGATCCAGAGCGTTTCTTATTCACCTGTTCAATCTTTGGAATTGAATTTTCAGATTGTTTATGTGATTCTGGTGCTAATGTGAATGTCATGTCAAAATCTGTTGCTGAGAAACTTGGTATAGGTACATTTGTCCTATCTCCAGTAAGGATAATCTTTGGTGATTCATCTCAAAAAAGAACAGAAGGAATGATCCAGGATTTGCCACTGATCATTGGAAACAAAATAATTCCAGCCGATTTTCAAGTTTTGGAGATGGACAAGGACAAAGACAGACCTTTGATATTTGGTCGCCCATTCTTAGCTACTGTAGGTGCTGTTATTGACCATGCAAATCGCTGTTTAGTTTTCTTGAATGTGGATAAGAGAAAGTTCTATAAGACCACACCAGACCTGATAGATAGGACTTTTAAGGGTCTCAGGGCTATCAATCCCCTTGTCAATGTAGCACAAAGAGGTTTATCAATCCAGATGTGGTGTTAGACACTAAGCTATATGATCAAGTTCTTAATTCAAGCAAACAAGAATAGGTTTTGATTAATCTAGAGACAACTATAAACATAAACAGGTTTAAAGACAAATGACAATGACAAATGATGTGAATATGATATGATGGAGGCATGAGATTCTAGACATGATAGTTGGTTAGGGTGCCTTGGTGTTAAACTAGAAATGCTAATGACAATGATGAGACATGATTCAAATGATTAAGAACTCTAATCTAGGTTAATCCTCTCATGAAGGTATTAACCCCTATACTAATCCATTTTCAAACCAAATTCCCATTTGTGAAACATGAATCAATATGCATTAACAAACAGCTCTTAATGATCATTTAAGCATTTAACAAATCATTCCCATGATGAAAAATTACTTAAACCTCTAACACAACTCTTTCAGGAATTTCATCAAACACTTTTGGTGCATGAAATTCCCAGAATCTAGATCTCAAGTGATTATCAAGGATTTAGCATAGAGAACAGCTGTTTAGAGAGATGAATCAATGAATCTAGCCCTAAGCACTCCTAATCTAACACTTTAGCACCCTAACCTACACATCTAGAACCTCATTAAGGTGACTACTCACTAATCATACTAATCTCTCTTAAACTTTTGCAAGTTGAGTAGATTAGCATGATTAATGATGAGAAATGGAGATGGAGATGATAGATTCAAAAGAAAACAGCTTTAAACACCCAGATCTCCTTAAACTCTCTTGATTAAACACTCAAATAAAGATATTTCTCTTCTTAATGGAGTCTTTTCACCAAAGAGGCAAGAGACAAAGGGAATAAAACTTAGTTCTCCCCCAAAAAACCCTAAAAAGTATTTATACCTTCTTAAAAACGAACCGGGTCAGCCCGGAACAAACCGGGTCCTGACCCGGCTTTAATGGATAAAATGGGAAAAGCTGCGGGTCGGTTCAGTATGTCCCAGGCCGCACACCTAAGTCGCAGTAGATGAAGACTTGTCTTGTGAGGCTTGAATCGCCTTGTCGGAGCCGCACGCCTATCTAGGAGTAAATTGCGAGTGTTTCTGCGGCATGGTCTCCTTCCTCTCCAACTCGCAGGGCTGAGCCGGTTTCTGGGGGATGTAGAAACTGTGCGGGTTGGTCTCTATTGCACTTAGGTCGCAGGCTCAAGTCGGAGTGAATTCCGAGTGATCGTGCGGCATAGATCCAGGCACGGATGACCCGCATGCCTAAGTCGCACGATTGTGGACTTAGCATTTCTCTTGCTCGGGAGCTCCAGACCTCTTCCAGTGATAGTTTACCCGCACATTTCAACTCGCAGCATCAGCATTCAGGCGTTCATCTTCAGGCCTGCGGGTTAACCAAGTCGCAAGACCATCTCGCAGCATCCAGAGCAGCTTAGATCACTTCGCATTCCGGAGAGTGTAACTCCTGTGATACTTGTCCGAATTGAATGATTTCGGTTGCAGAAGACAGAGGACTCATTTATCTCCAACTTTTGTGAAGGAAGTTTCAGTGCTTGGGAGGTGGAAGGCTTCCTGGAGGGCACATCTTTGCAGTGCATGTATACGACCAGAGAGAGGCGTCTAGACATGTGTCCATTCCGGAGGCCGTATCTTCCTGCTCATAGATCCGAATTGAATGCTCTTGGACGTTCTGGAAAGAAGACTCAAATGTCTCTGATTCTCATGAAGGACCCGGAAGCTGAATCGGCCTGGAAGTGCACCGTCCTTCGCATCCTTCAGAACTGATCTGCTCGGTCCGGAATACCTGCGAGACAGGGGTTTCTTCCGACGAGCTTATCTCTCTGCTCACGCGTCCGAATTCTACGATTCCAATTGCTATGAGACCGTGCTTCAATGCTCTCCAACTTCTATGAAGGACCCGCCATCTGAATCGGACCGGAAGGCTCCCCGGACAGGTGATTTCTGAGACTCGTTCGCACCCGGAGATTTTGGCCGATATACTTAATTCGCGGTACGTGAAAATGGCCGGTAAAGCTTCCCGCGGTACATGAAAATGGCCGGTAAAACCTTCCTGGCCAGCGAGAATGGCCGATAACCTCCATAGACTCAAGTTTTCCACTTTTTCAAGCTCTGCTCACCATTCCACCTCCTGGATTCATCTTTTCAGCTCCATAATCACCTGATAGACACTCAAAACATGCAAAGACTCATTGGGACCTAATGCATCTCCTAAGTTCTAAAACAAACCCTAAGGACCTAAAATACATGAAATAAAACATGATTTGGAATGATTTATGCAACCTAAATGATGCAAATTATGAACATATCAACTCCCCCACACTTGTCCTTTGCTTGTCCTCAAGCAAAAAGAGCAAATGAGAGAAAGAGGTTGTATGCAATGGGAGTTCACATTTTCTTTTTGAGAGAAGTGATCACAATGAGAATTCAAGTTCATGCTCAATTATGCAATGCAAAGCCATACTCAGATATATGTCAACTCAGCAAGGAATCTCCACAAGTTCTTCTCTCTCTCAACTCTTTCACATTCATTAAGCTTTTATCAGGTGGATCTCATGATGCAAGGTTTAAACAAGCTGGCTTGGCTAGGGAGAGGCTATGAGATTAAAATGATCTCATCAGTGTTCAAGTGGGTTAAATGCAGCAAAGGGATCTCTCTATGAATGATCAAACTTTGGCAGAATGCTAAAGGTAAAAAGCAACCTATGCATACAAGGGCAAAGACTCATCACTCCCCACCCTCTACTCAAAGCTTCCTCTCTTGCTCAAAGACCTCACTTTTCACACTCATTTTTCTCTCACTAGGGGATTTGTTCTTCACTTTCACTCTCAAGTCTTGGAACTCAAACTTTACACAGCTCTTTTTCTTTTACAACTTCTAGCCTCTTCTTTCTTTCTTATCAAAACATTTGAGCTTTTGGCTTCTTTTCTTTCTTTTTCACTTAGAGGCTAGATTTTTCTTTTCAACAAACCAGAGCTCACTTTCTCAAAACACCAAGACTGACTTCTTTTTCTTTCATTCCCCTAGTTATTTTCACTCTCTCTTTCCACTCATCTCACCTTTTTCCACTCACCAAAAAGTCTTTTCCCCCACACTTATTCCTCGCCAAAACTCTCAGTTCCTTGATGTTGGAACACATCACTCAATGAGACCTGCCCTTGTCGCTCTAAACCTAACACTTTCTGCTAAGTTTGATCCAAGGTGGCCTTTCAATTCTCACACAAACATTGGCTTAAAAGAAGGATGGGTTCAAGGTATGGGAACTGATCCATGATGTGGATTCAGTTACTTGAGCTAAGGAAAAGAGTGGTAAAAACAGTGGTTCTAGCTCAAGTATGTATATTGGTATCCACAAGCTTTTTCAAACAATGCATCACAAGATATTTTCAAGTCAAGTTCAAGGTTCCCATTTAATTAGAGTTGAGTTTAATTCAAACTTGCTTCTCAGATTCAAATCATTTCAGACTTTGCAAGCATAGAAAAAGATTCACAAGCATATTCAATTCAAGT